CTCGCTGATAGCTTCTCTCTCAAACAGCTTTTCTAGCAACAACTCTATTCTCCCTTCCCCTCGGCGTAACTCCTCCTCCCGCCGTAGCTCCTACTCTCGCTCATAGCTTCTCTCTCTTATAGCTTTTCTAGCCGCAACTATATCCTCGCCGCAACCCTCCTCTCGGCACAACCCCTCCTCTCGGCACAACCCCCCCTCTCGGCGCAACCTTCCTCTCGGCGCAACCCCTCCTCCCGCCGCAACTCCTACTCTCGTTAAGAGCTTCTCTCTCTTATATCTTTTCTAGCCACAACTATATCCTCGCCGCAACCCTCCCCTCGACACAACCCCTCATCTCGGCGCAACCATTCCTCCCGCCGACAGCCCCTCCATCTCTCCACCACAATGGATCCAGCAAGTCGAGGGTCAGTGGCAGCAGGGCTAGCAGCAGTATGTGCCAGCCTGCCGGCCCGCTCTGGATACTGCCTGTTGGCCCCGTAGGTAGTAATATATAGTAGAATATAAATCCATATGTGCTTAGTGCTTCAAGACCAATGTGAAAAAATACTGCATAAGCGAGGAAACCCGAGCCTAGTTTCAAGGCTAAGCGTCCCGATTCATCTCTGATATTCACACGTTGCACTCTTGCTCCCAAGTTTCAACAGTTCAAAAATGGTTCAAAAATGGTTCAAAAATTCCAAGAAAACGATGCTGCAACGTTTTAATGCACTTTAACGCTTTATTTTAACTACATAGGAGAGATTTGCAACATATTGAAAAAAAACTCGAAGTAATTCTTTAAATATGTCTAATTGCCGGTCATTTAACTCTCTATAATCGGGATCACTTGTACTACGGCTTCCAATTTTCACGGGAAAAGTCTGTGAACTGTATATCCACTCCCTCCGTTAAAAACTTGCAACACGTCTGTAAATCTAACACGGAATGTACAATGTTTTGAGTGGCTTTTATAGGTCAATAATTTGACATGTGTATAATTCCCAACTATCACGATGTGGTATTTACTTTTCCTACGGGTTTGAAAAAAAAATCATGGCACAACAGTCGCTCCACTATTTAAAAAACTCCCCCTTGTTTTACAAGGGTATGAAGAAGAAAGGAAACGATGGGTGGGGGAAGGGAGGGGGGGGGGGGGGAGATTCAAGATCGAGGATCTCCTCGCGAACCAATACTGTACTACGGCTGTCCTCGGTTTCCTCGACAGCACGGACGTGGGTCGCAGAAGGGTACCCCCCCTGGGACCAGAAGACGGACCAGAAACCCCGAGCCAAACCTCGGACATAGCAGCGGCGACGGCGGTCCTCACATAGAGAAGGAGCAAGAGCCGCAGCGGTAGAAAGAGTGGCGAGAGCGGAAGAAAGGAGACAGGCCGCCGAGAGCCTTCGTCCCCTCTTCCTTCCCATCCCTCCCAGCCGGGTCACCCAGGCTACAGGCAGCTCGATGGACTGGGACGCAGTAAGAGCCAGGGCGAGAAAGAGGATACAGGACGGGCGAGGAGACGGCCGGCCGGTGGAGTATATAGAGAACACGGCGGCAGGGACGAGGAACTAGATTTCGTAATCGAGCTCACAGGAAGTTGGACGGGGCGAGAGTTTGACTGACGAATACTTTCGTTCATTCATTCTTTTGAGTTGAGCGGGGAGCGAGCAGGGAAGGTTGACGCTCGGGGAGAGCTGGGCGGAGAGCAATAGGGAGCCGGCATCGAGCTCGCGGCCAGCGGTCAGGGACAGCCGGGTGGAAAGAGTAAGAGGGAGTGTCCCCATCGATGTGTGGCATGTTTTCTTCGACGTCTCGGCCTCCCGAGAAGAGAGAGCCCAGCACCATCAACGAAAACGCTTTCACCAATTCAAAGCGGAGGAAGAAATCAAAAATTGCGACGCCGAAACATCCGAAGACATTTCGCAGAGACACGCTTCCCTCGCTGTGCAATGAGGGGGTGTCTCTGGAGCTTTGCTGCTGTTTGAGCCAGCAAAGTCGCATCAAGGTAAGTATGAAGAAGAAAAGGAAAAGAGGAGGAAGGACGGGCGGGGATGGGGGGTTTTATAGCTGTTCCGGGGGGGTCGATTTTGGCCGACAGAAAGTAGGTAGCTAGCTAGATAGGGGCTTAGGACTTGCCACTTGGAACTTGGAGCTCGAGAGCAGACGAGACAGGAATCGAAGCTGGCCGGCCGACTTGCGAGCGGCGGGATTGTGCATAGCTGCTGTGGGACCCAGCAGAAACGACGCCTTGGCGCGTCGTTTCAACTCTGAGCTGCGGACCCAGGTGAGACCGATGGCCAAGGAGTTGTGAACAGAGTGGGACTCGTTGAGACCAGCTCGGTCCGGGGTGTGACCGTGGGCGGAGAGGGTTGTTGTCATTCGGTTTGAGAGCGGGTTCTGTCTGAGCTGGCAGCGGGCATGGGAGATGCACGAGCGGCGAAATCTCGCCGACCTGGAAGCCTACACCTATAAAATCCCCCGTCCCCGCCCGCCCTTCCTCCTCTTTTCCTTTTCTTCTTCACCATCTATATGCATGCGACTTTGCTGGCTCAACGAGCAGCAAAGCTTCAGGTATAAGGTTCTCGTTAGACATCGAGAATCTAGTCTCTGCGAATGGTCTTAGGGTCTTTCGGCGTCATAATTTTTGGCTTCTTCCTCCTTTTTGATGAAGGCGTTTTCGTTGATGGTGCTGGGCTCTCCTCAGGAGGCCGAGACTTCGAAGAAGACATGTTACGTACATCGATGGGGACTCCCTCGTGCTCCGAAGTTGGGTCATGGCAATATCCGCCCCGGGCATACACCTCCCGTTTCTACCCCACTGTCCAACCCAGCTTTCGTTGAGCGGTTCGATGTGGCTTTCCCTGCTCTCCGCCCCGGCTTTTCCCAAAAATAGGTGCATGTGAAGGAAATAAAGCTAGGAAACGAAAGCCCGCTCCTCACCCCGCCTTGCCGCACCCTGACTTTTCATCAGGAGATGCCACGAAGAAGGGTGTGAAGAGGAACAGCGGGAGTGACACCGACTCCTCAACCTCAGTGCCCTCCTCCTCCTCTTCTCGCTTCATCTCCACATATCTCCTTAAGCTCTCACTCGGACACCTCACTTGCAGCATCTTCCTCACCGACCTCTAAGACCCGTCTGCCCACATCATTGGATGAGAGGAAATCTAGGATGACCTGGTTGCACCGCGCGTCTGCGAAGAGGTCTCGGATCTTGAAGCGAGCCTCGGCCCTCCCTGTCCCCTTCCGAACCTCTGCCCACAGGATCTTGTACCGGCTCAGTCATTCGGGGCAGCACCCGAAGAGATGCTTCCGAGTCTGGGTCTTGAAAGGTAATGACACCATCCGCACCGAGCGTCCGGGCGGTGTGCTTGCGCTGTCTAGGGTTTACTCACAGTGTGAACAACCCATACACCACGCCGTAGATCCTATCATCATCCTTCGCCACCTCGGCCTCACTGAGCGCCCAAGTGACCGACGGAAAACGCAGAAGCAAACAAAAATTGCGATGCCGAAAGACCCTAAGATCATTCGCAGGGACTCGATTCTCGCTGTGCAATGAGAACCTTATCCCTGGAGCTTTGCTGATTATTGAGCCAGCAAAGTCGCATCAAGGTAAGTATGAAGAAGAAAAGGAAAGGTGGGTGGGGGGAAGGGGGGTTTTATAGGCGTTAGCTGCTGGCTAGCTTGGCGACACTGCGTGTCACTCGGTCAAAAACCCTAGCTATGTAGCTACTTTCCGTCGGCGAAATCGACCCCCTAGAACTCCTATAAAACGTCCCTTCCCCCCACTAAATTTTCTTTTCTTCTTCATACTTACCTTGATGCGACTTTGCTGGCTCAACAATCAGCAAAGCTCCAGAGACACCCCCTCATTGCACAGCGAGGGTTGAGTGTCTCTGCGAAATGTCTTCGGATGTTTCGGCGTCGCAATTTTTGATTTCTTCCTCCGCTTTGAATTGGTGAATGCGTTTTCGTTGATGCTGCTGGGCTTTCCACAGGAGGCTGAGACGTCGAGGAAAACACGCTACATAGAGGGGGAATGGGTGTTCCCTCTTGCTCCAAAGACAGATCATGGCAATATTGCTGTCTTACTAGACCATGGCGACCACCAACTTCCCGACCTTCCTGCCAGCTTCGCAGGTCGAGAGAAAGCTCTACCACCATGGCCCGTTGCTGTGCCGCTGCCTGCTGCAAAAGCTGTCTTTCAAGCACTACCCGCTAGTGCCCCCTCCGTCTTGACCGAGTGACACGTTGTGCCGCCAAGCCCTCCAGCCAGAACACCTATAAAACGCCCCTTCCCCCCACCCAGTTTCCTTTTCTTCTTCATACTTACCTTGACGTGATTTTGCTGGCTCAAACAGCAGCAGAGCTCCAGAGACACCCCCTCATTGCACAGCGAGGGTCGCGTGTCTCTGCGAAATCTCTTTGGATGTTTCGGCGTTACAATTTTTGATTGCTCGCCACGGAAACGATGGGGAGTTGGGGATCTGCGTCGATACTTGGATACTCCTTTGGGAAGTCGAGGCTTCGAAGGAAATTCTTGGGGAAGATGGCGGGCGGTGGGGGGGTGGGATGGGATGGTGTTGTTGCTGCTGCTGCTGTTGTGGGCAGCTATAGTTATCGACCTGCTCCAGGAGTAGGATCACTCTCACAGCTCTGTGCCAGATGTAGTCAGGTACTATTGTAGGATGGATGTCTCCTCCTCCTCCTCCTCCATTTCGGGGATTTTCTGGCGGTTAAGCACACCATATAAGTTTGCGTGGGCTTTTGTTCTTGCTCAGAACTATCCCTTCTGCTCGCGCACTTTACATGAAGTGAGTACTGTATGTGTGTCCACGGGCTTACCCACAAATGTATTCATGTATCTACGTGACTGATTGATGAAGTGCTTATGGGCAGTAGGCAAGGCCGCCTGGGAATCTACAGGGCTACTAGCGCGGACGATCTAGAGCGGCGCCAGTCGCGCATGAGACACAACGGCGAAACCCACCAGCGATATGCATGGTGAGTGACCACGATGGATGAGTTTTGAGTGATACGTTCTATCTTCAGGCTGCCAAAATCTTACTGCATGCCTGTTCAGGCTTCATCAAAGGCACTTCATTGAGGTCATCTAGATTAACCTTGGTCTAATCACGCTTCAAATCAAAGACTTCCTCGTGGTAGCCATCCTTTGAGATGGTGACCAGCTGCAGGCCATCTCCGACCTCGATGTGTCTCTCCGTAGCACTCGTAAACGCATCCTTGACCAACATCTTGACTTTCTCCCTTGAGAGATACTCCACCGGCCTCTCTTGGGTGAAGGCAGTGCCCGGCACGTACTGGTTCTTGAACTCGACCTGAACCGGGTTGTTAGCGTCAACCGGAATCAGGCCATGAGGGTAATAATCCCCTCATTGCCGCGATGACCAGTCACGAGTGAGGCATTACCTGATTATCCAAGAACGGCACGATCAACGAACTGGCCGCGCCCGCCGCAGCGCGCCTCTCTCCTTCCTTGGAATACGATCCAACAGGGTCGTAGGAATATAGCTTCGCCTTGCCATCCTTGTCGAGACCTCCGAGAATGCAGTGGGCGTACTTTGGGAAGAAGCGGTTGCCGTAGAGGACGGTGAAAAGGAATTGCGCCGCCGCCGTAACCGACATGTTCCGCAGGTTGTGCTGGAATCTGAAGTCCTGTTGCCTCTGCGTATCAGCACATATCCCATAACAGCTTCCGTCTGACTGCGGCGGTGGTTGAAGGCTAACATCGACAGCTCTCGTCATCGTCTCGGCGATGTTCTTTGCGTCCGCTCCGAAGCCCACAGTAGCAAGCACCAAGTTGGAGTCTTCGCCGAGCCTGAACACCTTCTTTTCCGTCCGCGAGTTGATGCTGTAGCCGGAGGTGTGTCGCGTATCGCCAGCCATGACGAGGAAATCATCTCCCGCGATGCCGATTATCGAACCGCCGTTATTGGTGTAGCTAGAGGGTGGTCAGTAGAGCTCCGCCGTAGTGCTGCCTGCTGTGGAAGCGGGGGGAACGAACGGGTTGAAGGCGTGCTGCTGGGGACCGCTAGCTGCGTGAGCGCTAGGAGCATACGATGGAGATGCAAACAGCGACATTTTGATGGGATGGTGATGTGAAGGATGGATTGGAGAGGTGTTGGTTGCACTGTTGATGCTCTGGGTGATGCATGAACGTTCTCTCGAAGCTTAGCCGCAACACGACAGGGTAAATCACCTCAACTGCGGGAGCTCTCCAGCGCGGCGATGACGCGCCGTTGCACACGACAAACCCGACACCAGTAACTAGCACTCAGCAACCGCGCAATGGGTCTCGTCGAATATGGTAGCGATAGCGAGGATGAAGCTCCTTCAACTTCCGCTTCAGTGCCACAGCAGCCCTATCAAACAACTCCCCCACAGGTGCACCCTACGTAGCCGTTCCGCCGTGCTGTCAACTAACATACTGGACTCGTAGTCACAGAACCTCTCCCCCGGTCCAATAACTACGACCATAGATGGCGCTTCCAGTCGTCATTCACCCGGTTCTTTTCAGGCGTCGCCAGAACATGAGCAACCATCGACAGACGATGCCCCGATCGTAGGTCCGCAACGACCACCGTCGGACGAGGACGAAGACGAGGAAGACCAAGGCCCACCGCTTTCACCTTACACGGCTTCGCGAAACCTCATCCACACGCTCACGCTGCCTCCCTCTATCCCCACCATTCCCCCATCACCACCAGGGTCGCCACCGGCACCACTCGCGGCCAAATTCGCACACTTCCGGGACCTCAAGACGAAAGGCGTGCATTTCAACGAGAAGCTACTTCGCTCGTCGTCATTGCGAAATCCGAATCTTTTGGAGAAGTTGACCGAGTTTGTAGGCTTTGCCGGAAAGGATCAATACGCAACCAATCTATCGTCTGATCTGTGGGATCCAACAAAGTTCCCTAAGGACGCTTTTGTCGAGGCATTGGCATATAACCAGGCCATGATTGGCGAGGCGAGGGAGAAGGTGCAGCTGGAGTCTGGAAGGGATAAAGTGGAGTTTGTTGGTTCAGTGCACGCCCCACAGGTACAAGCACAACCAAGGGAGAGAATAGCCGAGAGCGCGGCTGAGAGAGTTATGAAGGGATTGGATCGGGAGCGAGGAGGTGCGCCTCCAGCTCGAGGAGGCCGAAGGGATAGGGATAGGGAAGAAGGGGCGGGTGAGAGAAGAGATGATAGAAACCGCAGGATGGACGAGGGCGGAGACAGAGGACGGGGCGGTAACGATCATCGGGACCGCCGACGCGATGACAACAGACGGCGCAGGTCACGGTCAAAGTCGAGAGACCGTGCACGTGTAGACAGGAGACATAAGGATGTGGAGTATCGCGATAGGCGGTAGAGAAAGGACACATGGAGTCTCTATGGAGAACCAGATTACCGGTATGTGTGCATGATACTTAGGCGAGATGCCTTGATTTCCTTTAAACGGCGGTAATATTACATAAATGTATGGGAATCAATTTTACTCTGAGAAGAGCGTGCTTGCTACGGTGATTCATGAATTCTAAAGCTGTACGTGAAATTGGTAGTATTTATGGCTGGGAGCGCTAGCTCTCGAATTCTAAGGGCGGGTGACTGCTGGTGACATGACGCTAGCTCCGATCCGGTATAGTGCCAAGACTTCCACCTATATAAACAGTGCCTTCCTCCCGTCTCTTACTCTCTTCTTCTTTTCTCCTTCATACTTACCTTGATGCGACTTGCTGGCTCAACAATCAGCGAGCTCCGGAGGCAACACCCCCATTGCACAGCGAGGGTAGCGTGTCTCCGCGAAAGGTCTTCGGGCCTTTCGGCGTCGCAATTTTTGATTTATTCCTCCTTTTTGATGAAGGCGTTTTCGTTGATGGTGCTGGGCTCTCCACAGGAGGCTGAGACGTCGAAGAAGACACGTTACATCGATGGGGACTTCCTTTTGCTCTGAAGACGGATGAAGTTCTCGCTCAGGTCATCTAGAGTATGTACTCTAGTCTTTCCGCACGCGCCAACGGGGCAGAGACAGCGAAGCTCAAGTTTTTCAAGCGTTCGTATCGCGATGGGTGGTGTCTGATGCTGAGACCCCACACACACGCTGTGAGCCCAACCCGACGAATCCGAACGGCAATACCATCTCGATCGTGGTGATGAAGAACTTCACTTGAGCCTTTTGCAGCCCTCTCATCCTCCGGGATTCATCAGAGCAGTGATCTCTCGACCGCCAGTCATCGTTCCTGAGTACCCAGCGCGGCAAACTTGAATTAGACTACGTGTCTAGAGCACAAACACTGCCATCCTTCAACCCTAAGCTGTCGAACGTTCGTCAGTCTACTCTACATACACCCTACTTTACGAGATGAGCAGTGACTTCAGCCCCATGATGCATGCACCTCATCTCGAACGGCCTGGCCCTCTCGTATGCAACCAAGCATCTAAATTCACCCATCAATACAATGACCCCTTCTCCGCCTATTCCTCATGCTTTAGTCCGTAGGAGAGGGTCGTTTTGCTCGTCCGTACTCTGATGACGGGACCGACGTGCGTCCGACCCTTTCGCTCCCGTTGGTCCATAACGCCGTCAAGTCCTGTGGTGTCATTTTCTCTCTGGAAGCTGATGTAGGAGGCACGTAGAGCTCGGTATACAATCCCGCCCCACCCTCTCAGATAGTCGTGATCGGTCGAGCCATAGGTCTCGGGACTACCGCCTACCGGAACCACGACTTCCCACGGCAACCATAATGTCCGGAAACACCTAGGATAAGTTTATTTGCTGGTGTTTAAAGCAAGTACTTAGGGAGTTTTTGTTGGTTTACTTTTATCAATTATACTACAATTGGGTATCAATTCGGGCGTTGTAAGCTGATCACAGCTCCAAAACTTGTCAATGTACAGGATTGCTACCCACCTGGGTATTCTCGTATAAACTCGCTACACAAACAACTCAGCAAGTAAGCACTTATGTACGGAAACGTGGACTTGCTCACTTGAGTAGGCAGTAATGGTGTGTTTCGATACTCGCATTTTTTAGGTGTTTGCGAGTGAGCTCCCCTGTCCAGTACAGAAAATGAACTTGGCAGTTACACTAGGCGACAGCCACATGGAGCGGCTTCCCCCCACACCAAGCCCCACCAAGGCTACCCACTCGAACAGTACTCAGCAAGCTCCAAGCTCCATCGCCAACCCACGTCCACACCACCTTACCGACACATCCCTATTCAGCCAGTACCGCAGCCATGTCCAACGTCGTCGTAAGATGGAATCAGCGCGCCGTAACCATAAAAACGACTCCGGGAAAGCCACTTAGCGAGATCCGCGCCGAAGCCTGCGCCAAATTCGGGCTGTCGACGCCCTCCGGCTTTATTCTAAAGTAGTAAATATGCTTTTTTTCTTTTCTTTCGCTGAGTGAGGATGAAGCAGCTGACGGAAGCAGGCGAGGCGGAGCAAAGCTAGATCTCTCACTCCCCGTTCGCCTCACCAACTTCGTCCCGGGTACAAAGCTGGAGTTGGTACAAGTTTCTGCGTCGGCCGTTGCGAAGCCCGTCAGCATCGTTCTAAGAACCGTCGATCCGGTCGAGCAGCTATCGGGAACGTTCCCGGCGGCGACAAGTATCTGGGAAATCCTAAGGAAGCTCGAGGCGGATGCGAGGACGGCGGGAAGTAGTAAGGTCAACATCACGGAGCGGTGTGCACCTTCGGCCGATGCGGGCTCGGGGAGGCTGCTGTATCAGATGCCGGCTGTGAGGGTTGCAAATAGGGAGTTGGCCAAGTTTGGCGAGCTCAAGCAGACGTTGGAGGAGCTGGGATGCAGTGGACGGGAGCTGTTGGTGCTCAGGTTTTTACCGACCGAGACGCCGTACGAGGATGCGTTGATGGAGATTGCGGGGGTTACGAAGGATCTGGGCTCGGCGGAGACCACGGAGAGCCCAAAAGTGCCAGCTACAGAGGGGGCCGGGCCGGCGGTCGATGCGGCGAACGATGAGGATCTGCTTATGCCGGAGGCTTCTGACACCCCCGAGACTGCGGACACCGCCCTGGACCTGCCATCTGTCTCTACGGAACCAGTTGAGAGCAATGATATGTCACCCGAACCTTCTGTTGCTCAAGAACCTGCTGGACCGGTGGAGCCGAAGATCGCAGTGTTCCAGCCGTCATCGTCGACAACCCCTGCGGCGGCAGCTTTTCAAGTACCCGACGCGGCATACGATATCGGAATTGCGGAGTTGAAGCGGATCAAGGAGAACTACCATATCGCCTCCCAGCCTCAGAGGCTGCTTTCTGACAAAGAGCTCGCGGAGAAGGAGGTGATCAAACGGCAAGAGATGGAGAAGATCCAGGCTGTAGGTCTTCCTCCTTCTTCATCCGTGGGTGCAGCTGACTTTGAGAACAGTTGAAGATCAAAGTCAGATTCCCTGATGGCTACATCTCGCAGCAGGAGCTTGACGGCAAATGCACAGGTAGGATCTCGAATTCCGCGCATAACATTACTCGTAAAACAAGGCTGACCGTCTCATTAGCCCGAGATCTTTACAATCTCATCCGCACCACTCTACGCCACCCCAACGAGCCCTTTGTCCTCTGTAAGCTCTCCCGCATCACACGCCTACACGCAAGAATCATCTAACACTGTCCAGTGATTCCCCCCCGCGACATCATCAAGGATGACGCGCGCCGCCTTACGCTAGACCTCAAGGTGCGCTCCGGCGCATCACTACACCTAGCCTGGAGCAAAGAAGCCAGCGACAAAGCCAAGAACTCTCCGGCGTTAAACGACGAGCTCGTAAAAGCCTCGAAGGAATTGCCCAAGCCCTCGCCGCCCAAGGAGTCAGACTACGTCGCGACCGAGGAGGAATCCGAGAATGCAAAGGGAAAACGGAAGGAAGAAGCTGGCCCTAGAAGTGCCAAAAGCGATATTGAAAAGAAAATCAAGGGTCTGTTGAGGCTGGGGCGGAAGTAGTGCAATCTGATGAGACTTTGTAGTCGGTGTTCTATTCGTTTCCCTAGATGGAGTTGTGGGCTATTTGCACCTTGTATTCACATTTGGTATGTAGTCGGGGCATGCGCGGCAGCAGCGCGGGGATCGGGATTTCTTTCGCGACGGCGGTGGAGGTGGATATGTAAATGTAAGTTACGATTGTGATCGATACGAGCCAGCCCCACTCGGCTCGTGAGCCAGCTGAAGAAAATGCCATTGCCTGCCTGCCTAGCCCCCTGTCCTCCGTCCCTCGTCCCTCATCCCACATTCGTCTAACCCTGCGAAATGTAAAGCACTGTCCCCTCATCATCAGTCCCCGTCTCGTCCCGTCACGCCCACTCCAGTAGAAGAGAGAGAGAGAGAGAGAGAAAACCCACCGTTGTTTCCCCGGATGAACACGTCGCCATAGCGATTCCTCAGTCTACCGCCGGCAACAAACTCCTCGGTGTGCTCGAGGGCAATGTTCATGTATCCATCGACGCTGCTGAGCTCACCTGTCCGTGTTACACACGTCAGCTTCCTTCCTTCCTTCCTCTAGAAAAGTGGGGGGATGGGGAAAACCTACCGCGGTATTCTACGCCGCTGTTAAGTTTGACGACGATGGGGCCGCCAATGATCGAGCTGAGGAAGGTGGAGGGGTCGCTGGAGGGCGCGGCGGCGTCGGCGGGGGGTGTGGTGGGGTCCATTGTTGTTTTGTTGGTGGTGGTGGATGCGTCGTGGTAGGAGCTGTGGCTGTGAGGTGGGTTCAAGGTTGGGCGCCAATGATGGGTTGCACGTGATTGGAGCTTTGGGAAACTTCGACTTCTTATATCTGTTTTTACACAGCACGAAAATTATGAACACACTGATGAAAAGAAAAAGAAAAAACGCCGTAGCCATTCTTTTAACGCCGAAAGCATAGCGAAAGAAAAGTCCCTCCTCAAACTCGAGAATCTCACCCAGATCAAAGGAAAATAACACGAAAATATCCAAATTGCCTCCTAGTGGGCCATCTTCTTGAGAATACTCGTTATTTGGAGGGCCACATTGATGATGAGAGCGATGGCACTACAGAGATGACAAAGGAGAACACGTTAGCACCACAAAATACACACGGATTCTGAGAGAGAAGATGCATTCTTCATCGCAAGATACCCAGAATTTTGCCGAGCCAGAGTAGCCACCGCATAAACAGAGAAAACAAAGCTTGGGAGTAAACGACCGGGGATACCCACATAGCCACGGTGAAAATATCGAGAACGTCTCCCCAGCGTCCAATTTTGACCTCAGTTTCGACCGGTCCGTCCCATTTCCCATCTGCATTTGTTCCGCCGGTGGTATTGATAGTGCGCTCTTGCCCGCCAATGATCCGTTGTCGGAGCCCAGAGGCTCCATTCAAGTTTTTGGTCTCCTCGGTAGTGTCCTCGTCTTCCGGGAATCGTCCGTTTTCCATGTAGAAATCAATAAGGTTGTCTTTTTCGATCCAACGCTCCCGGAGCCAAATCTCGAAGGCAGCGGGGTCGGTGACGGGAATGTCCTTGACCGCGAATCGACGCCAGTACATATTCACCGACTTCGGAGGGCGGCCCTCAAAATATGTCGCGTATAGTGTGAAATAATCCTGACCGAACCCATCGCGTCTGCGATCCCAGTCAGTGCATTTCCGGATTCGGTCAAAGCGGTTGAACATACGGCACTCCTTCATATGCAACTGTGCAATCATACACCCAATCAACCGTCTCATTCATCTGCTCCAAGCAAAACCGCAGACCGGTGGATCGCGGCAACAGCTGATGTTTAAGATCGGGGATCCCCAGCTTTGCCGCAAATTTGGCGCTCGTGGTCCGGCCATTTATACTCGCATTCGTCCCCTCGGGGAAGATCAATAGCCACATGGGGTCATCCCGCGATGAGGAGAGTTTCGAGAGCCGGTGCTGAATCCGCGACTTGTCCTGCTCCCACTTCCGCGCCATGAATACGAAGCCGTAAAACTGCATTCCGAGTCCGATCAGAGGAAGGTATTTGAGCGATTCTTTGAGGATGATGTAGATGAACCCGTGCATGCGGGCTGTGTAAGCTATCCACCAGAGGTAGAGCCAATCGGAATATAACTACTGGAGATTAGCATCTGCATTCCTACGACTCAGCCGAGCTGGCAGGAATACTTGGTGGTTGGCGATCAGTACCAGTCGCTCGGGGAACTGACACTGCAGCTCACCATCCGCCCCTCGCTTGATCTGGTGCCGGACGGATCTGTCACCGGTAACGCGGATCACGGTGGGTGACCACCACTGCGTGACGGTGGTCGCGACAACGCCGAAATGCATTTTTGTCCGTGCCATCCAGGCATAGTATAGTTGTCGATTTACGAAGTAGAGCGGCGCACCGACAAACTGGGTGGCAATGATCCTATTGTCGAACGAACGGCCGAAGTCAGTAGCCTTCCTTTCTGTTTCCCGTGGGACAGTGGAACACTGGGTTGGTACTTACACCAAGACACACGTGAGGAACCAGATGCCGCAAGTGCATACCCGTACATACTGGCGAAACCCTCCATAGCGAACGTTGCCCGCCGGGTGGAAGCCGGCAGGTCTTGTTGCAAGGCCTACTGTCTCATCTGTCGGGGGTATATCGAGCTTCGTCGTCTTCTCGCTGTTGTCGCCCATCGTGACGCGTTACGGGCGAAGCCAGGCTAATCGTTGAGAGTTCTGGCAAATAACGGTCGATAGCCAAAGAAGAGTTCAGCCGTTCAGCCGCTCAGATGAGGACGACAGCGATGAGGGAGGGGAGTGAGGGGCAAAGCGAGTAGCTTTGAAACTTAGCGATGGAGGGATAATAGAAGGAGAGGCAGGAGGAGACGAGGGGAGACGGGGAGGTATAAACGAGGGCTCATGAGCTGGGGGAGTTGGAGTGACACTTGAAGGTCCCTCTGGGGGTGGTATGAGGACACATGCCAAATGCTTGCTGGTTGAAGGGCGGCGGCATGTGGTACAAAAACAAAGTTTCTCAACCCAGGGAGCAGCCTGAGGTTAGAGTGGTTACGTAGCGTGGGTTGGATTCTTCAGGCCAGAGCACAGACCGCAACGCCAGGGTTCAACTCCACAGGCATGAAGATCCTCTGGGTTTGGAGCGATGGCCTTTCCACCCCCTTTCCTGTCGTTTGTATGTGCCCAATGTATGTGAGCGGACTGTATATACCTAATGTATGTGAGCGGATTGTATGTACCTATGATAATGTATGTGAGCGGACTGTATGTACCCAAGGTATGCGAGCGGACAGGTGGCTGTGCCCACTGCTCATCGCCGCCTTGCCGTGCACTCGGAACCCGACGATGAACCACGCCGAAGATGACAGGCCTGACACCGCCAATTGTATGCATGTACGCCTGTCCTCCCGGCGCCCGGTGCGCCCGCACTCCGGCACAATATCGCGGACTGCATGCCTGAAGATACCTACTCGCGGCACCGGCACGCAGACCTGAATTCCCCCGAGATTCTTGGCCTTACATATTTACAGCTGCACTCACTGCTCGACATTTGGTGCCGGGACTGTCACTTACCGCGTGTGGATGCCTGTAAATCGCATGTGATTGTCGGTAGAGATACACGTGCAAGGACAATGCAACTGGCTGCAATGACCGGAACGAAAACGAAAGATGTTTGCAGTTTATATTGGTGAGGCGGTACATACGACAAAATACCCAAGTACCTGCTGGTACACAGTCAACCAACTTCGCTGAGCGATTACGAGCATGAGTAATCACTCGAAAGAGGCTCTGCTCACTGCACGGACCGTTTAGTGCCCCGCATGTACCCTGTCCAGTTTTGAGCTTGTGTGGCTAGCCCCGCCTCTTTAGCTCCATTCTCCGACACGCTCAAATGCTCAGCTGCGCCTCCACAGCCACAGACCGCACCGCCACATCTTGCCAATAACCACCTCCCAATAAGCTACCGCAATCGTGCATCGTTATCACACCCGCCCATACTCCTGCTACATACCCACTTGCAAACCTACTCAGCGTGAGATATCCTTGCATCAACGAGCGGAAATGGTATACGGACCCTCCCTCTCCCTTTACGGACCTTAGACTAATCCAAGTGCAGGAGAGAAACCAGAGAGAGAGAGGCCGGTACCGGACTATCGAGAATGTCAATGATGGTTAGTACCTATATCTGTTCCCTCCAGCTGCACCCAGTTATCTGACACGACGAACATTAAGCGGCCAAATACTTTTTAGAAGATTATTACGGAGCCATGAACCGCGACCGCACCAAACTCGCCAGCCTCTACGTCCCGGACGCCAAGATCGTCTACAACGGCAACGCCTTCGCCGGCGGAGATGCCTTCGCGAGCTTCTTCGCGACCGCCACCACCACCTACCACGACTCACAGTCCTACGACGTGCACAAGGTTGGCGGTGGCAGCAACCTCATGGTTCTCGTCTCCGGAGCCGTCAAGTACGGTATCGATAAGGTCAACCGCGGCTACAGCGAGACGTTCGTCTTGCAGTCCATTCCGGGCCCCACGCCCTCCTTCAAGATACAATCCCAAGTATTCCGGCTGGTCACAAAGTAGTGGGACGGGGAGATGTTGGGCACGTCATACAGAAACGCGCTCGGGGAATTTGGGGTAGATGGTTTTAATAGTTTTCGATACCAAGTTCATTTCGCGAACATGATTCTTCAAGAGCTGCAATTCGCGTGATTGCCTTTGTAATAGTTAGTATATCCTGAGTTATGGCAGCACCACTCTTTGTCTCTGTTTACTCGGGATTCATCCACCCCGTCACACGACATCACCCAGCACCTGCCTACCAGAGAACTCTACCGAGTCCGGCGACTACCGTCTAGGTAAAACAGGTAGCTATGGCCACGGCCCGGAGAGCTCCCTCAAGCAGCACAATCATAAGAGATCCTGCTCATCCCCTCTGAATCATGATCCGCAGTCCACCAAAGATCGACAGCGATGATTTCCCTTGCATCCCGCTTTCAGGGTAACACAAGCCACCTATCTTGGAAGCTTCTGATTGGTGTTATGGTGATGCCGTCCGCTGTTGTGCGACCACCGCTGGGGCGGTAAAAAAAGGACACATCTTCTCTCAACCAACAACAATGCCGTGTTATAACGGTTATCAACATCAACTCTGAACCTACCCACCACCATACGACACCGACCAAACAACTCCGCCAACGCCAGTGCCTGCTCCCACAGCCGTCATGGATATCCTAGGGGTAAGAAATCATATCCATTGAAGCCTTTGACTCGAGAATCCCGCCCTCACGGGCTTATCAGTACTATCAGATGAGAGTTCCGACTGACGAGAAAATTTTTCAAGAACCTAGCACAGTTTCTGGACCGCCCGGGCTTCCCATGGAAGACCCTCATCATCGGCTTTGGAATCTCACAGTACCTCCTTGAAACATGGCTCTCTGTTCGCCAGCACCACAAGCTCTGCGAGGACAAGGTGCCGAAGGCCTTGGATGGTGTTGTTTCCAAGCAGGACTACGATAAGGCTCAGGTGAGTCAATGCTCTACGGATTGGTCCGTATTTGGTGCGCGGTGATTGATAGTCGACCAGGCCTACGGACGTGCGAAGTCGAAGTTCGGCTTCATCAGCTCATTCTACGGTCAACTCACCAACGTCGGTACTATTCACTTCGATCTGCTTCCCAAACTGTGGGGCCTCACCGGCCTCTGGATGTCCCGATACGCCCCTATCGGTTTCCGCGGTGAAATCACCCATTCGATCGTCTTCTTCGTCGCCTTCAACCTTGCCGGAAACCTCGCCAACATGCCGCTTCAGTACTACAAGAACTTTGTCTTGGAGGAGAAGTTTGGATTCAACAAGCAGACCAAGAAGTTGGTATGCGTCATTCCGTGCCTAGATTAGGTCGACAGATTGCTTACGGTGAACGTAGTTTTTCACGGATGCCATCAGGACTCAGCTCTTGATCGCTGCCCTCGGTTCCCCGGTTCTCGCCGGTTTCTTGAAGATCGTCAGCTACTTTGGTGGCAACTTCTTCTACTACCTTTGGCTTTTCATCCTCGGAGTGCAAACCTTCCTTGTCACCGTCTACCCGATCTTCATCCTGCCCATGTTCAACAAGCTCACTCCTCTCGAGGATGGAAAGCTGAAGTCCGAGATTGAGGCATTGGCCACTAGGCTCAACTTCCCTCTGAAGCACCTCTACGTTATCGACGGTTCCAAGCGCAGTGCGCACAGCAACGCTTACTTCTACGGATTGCCCTGGAGCAAGCAGATTGTTATCTATGATACTTTGATTGAGAAGAGCGAGATCAGCGAGGTCGTTGCCGTTCTCGCTCACGAGTTGGGTCACTGGAAGGAGGGTCACACTACCAAGCAATTCGCAGTTTCGCAGGTAAGCAAGCCCGTTTGCATGTCGTCTAGTTGTCCGCTTCTAACACGCTGTGACAGTTCTACACTTTCGGAGTCTTCGTCATGTTCTCGCTGTTCATCAACAACCGATCTCTGTTCCAAGCTTTCGGTTTCGAGAAGAGCATGCCCACCATGATTGGTTTCCTCATCTTTGGCGATATCTTGACTCCCGTCGACACTGTCCTGAAGCTCTTGATGAACATCATGTCCCGGAAATTCGAGTACGAGGCGGATGCTTTTGCAGTTGGGTTGGGTTACGAGAAGGATCTCGCTAAGAGCTTAATCAAGCTCCAGGTTCAAAACTTGAGCACTATGGATGCAGATTACTTGTACTCTGCGTACCACTTCACTCATCCCATTCTGCCGGAGCGGTTGAGGGAGTTGGGCTGGAAGGGAGGAAAGGTTGAGTAGATACATTAGGTATATGTCGATACTCGAGTAATAATATTGGGAAGAGGATGGTGGGGGGATGTGTGATTAGCAGATCAGTTTCTTTGTACCGATTGTTAGAACATCCCCATAAAAATTGCAGCGCCGGTTACATTTTAATCATGAACGAAAACATTGACCTTAAACATTACTTCTTCTCGTTCGCCCTCTCTTCGGCCCTCCGTTTCTTGTCCTCCTTCATCCTCGCCTTCTTGTCGGCCTTCCTCTTCTCCTTGTCCACACCGCCCACCTCTTCGCCCTCTAACACCGGTGCCTCAACCTCATTACCCCCCGTCTGCGCCGTCGCCCAATTTCCGACCTCGACATCCTCCTCCTCGTCCTCTCGTACAGCCGGTGTCAGCCCCGCAGCCCGTCCCTTCACCTCCTCCGACGTTTCCGTATCGAACGTCTCGACGGGCTTGGGAATGAACACGCCCTGCAGCGCACTGACGATCCGTCGCTGATCGGAGAGCACCAGGTCCCCGCGGGCGCTGGTGTGGCGCTCCGAATCGGCGCGCTCGACGAACGCCGCGAGGAGGATGTGCGCGTCTGCTGGCGATACCACTGTCGAGCTGATAACGCGGGTCGGGGGGAGAGTTGCTGTCGACATGGTTTTCTTCTGTTCCTTTTTTTTTTCTTTCTCTTTTTCGGTCAGCCGGGGATTGAGGTCGCGAGCGGGGTAAAGAGCTGTTACATACGGGTGGGTTTTGGAGGTTGTTGGCTGAGAACGAGGTAGTTAACTACTATCTACGATCAGAAAGTTTTGGTCGGCGCAGAGTGAAGCGTGACAGCACCCCTGTGACACGCCAAGAACCTCGAAAACTAACGACCCGCCGCCGCACGCTGCCGCTGCTGCTGCTGGCAACCTCATCTCACCTCCGGCACAGACACGGGCACGGCATTGAGCAACTCTACGCAGCACCACAATAGGACAGGACAAGGACAATGTTCGCCCTCCGCACCGCCCTCCGCACCGCCGCCGTGCGTGTTTCCGCCGCCCCCACTCCCGCGCTCACCCGGTAGATACCCCCGCCATCCCACCTGCTGCCCCCCACTCGTTAACCCCCACCAGAAACTTCTCGCTCATGACGCTCCGCCGTCCCACCGTTTTCGGCGCTGCACCGGCCGGTTTGGCCGCGCCGCCGACTACGATCACGGGAGTCATTGACACGCTCGCATCGCGCATCAGTGCGTCGCCCGCGCTGCAGGCGCTGCAGGTCCGCAACGGTCCTCGCGACACGTTCGATCCGTCGCACCGGGTGCGCAAGAGGCGTGCGGGATTCTTGACCAGGAATGGGTGCAGGACTGGAAGGGCTATCCTGAAGAGGAGGAGGCTGAAGGGGAGGAAGAACTTGAGCCATTAAGGTCGGACGGGCAATGAATGCGTGTGGGAGGGATGTGCGAATTGTATTTGTAGATCATGATGGTTGGGATACTAGAGGTGGTGTTTCTTTTTTGATCGGCTTATGATACATGCGCCCCCTCCCCCCACTTCCGTCTTTCTATGTATAAAGTACATTTCGAGATCGTGCGCTCTATGCCTCCCTCCCATAGCCGGCTCACTCCCGCCCACGATGTACAGTACAAAAATCACACCCGGCACCTGAAGAGTACACTAATTGTTATAGAACGATCTTGGGGCCGTATTTCCATCCGGGAACGGCCACCTAGACGCCACAACATTCCAATCGATACGATCCCATACGGCCTCAAGGTACCGTTCTTTCCCGCCAATGCCGTAGTCCTCCAGCCATGCATGTTCCCAACAGTTGATGTTCAGCAATGGGACAGCCCAGTTGGAGTTGTTGCCTTGGGTGACGGAACGCAGGGTGTCGGTCATGTATGAGATGTTGTTGTCGCCCAGGGTCTTGCGGGTATTCATGTCCGTGTCCTGGCGGCGGTGGGCAGCACCGTAGGGAGTGCCGGCGTTGTACGTGCACAGAATGCGCAGGTTCTTGTTCTGGTCGAAGACCAGCCATACCCAGCCGTTGCCGAACATGCTGGCCGCGGTCGTAAGGAGCTCGGTCCGCATGGCTTCAGCAGAGGGCCAGCCGTTGGGGATGTGGTTCTTGAGGATGTCGGGGATGTCGACTTTGGCTGGGGCCTATACAGATGAGTGGGGGAGTAGATTGGGATATGGGAATCGCCGTACCAGGGTCTCGAAGAAGAAGTGGTTGTTGTGTGCTTGCGAGGCATAGTTGAACGTCGCGGCGAGATCGGCTTGTCGGGAGGTCATCACGGTGATGTCTAACGCTGTCTTGTTCATGTAGTCGGTACCTGCCAGCCAAGTTCCGTCAATACTGACATCCACACCCATATAGCTGGTGCATCTGAGGCTGACCGTCAACCAACCGGTTAAGGTTGTCCACTAGCAGTCCCTGGTACTCGGTCCACGCGATGTTGAAAGCCTTCCTCGAGAACAGGCCGGGGACACCATTCTCGGCAAAGTTGCTTATGTTTGTGAGCGCCGGGACGCCGTGTTTCGCACGGCGCTGTTGGTGCTGCATGGGCAGAACCCGAGGAGCGACATTCTTCCATCCGTCCCGTGAGCTTAATTCCCCGCCCCAGGTGAGAGTTTTCATACCGTGAACGAGGAGAGCACGCGGGGCGTCCGCCGTGCAAATATCGACGCGATTGACATTTCGGCCGGCGTGCGTGCGTAGTTGGTGGATGCGTATGGAGGGGTGACAGTTGGCGGGGGAGCGGCGGCGTTTCAATCGGGGACAAATTTCAGAGACACCCGCATTTTCTGTGTCGTACAAGAACCTTGCCAAGATGGTGTTAGCCGGCCGCGTGACTGGGCTAGTCTCATTGTAGTCTAAAGACTCACGTACCGTATCGGAGAGCTCCAACAGCCAGCACCACTGCGTCAACGGCAATCCCACGAGACAGCCGTGCGAGCGAGCTCCCATCCGCCCTCAACACCCCGAGACTCGCACTCATGGATACCGATTCCCTTCGGCGAGATGTCTGGAATGGTTCCATCCCGTGCAAAATAAATCTCGACCTCTCGGAGGATCCCGCTTACGAGGCTGTCAGTCCGTACTTCGTGAGTTCCGTCCGTTCCCACGAAGTACCGGGAACGTGTGCTGAACCTGTGCCCGAAAATAGGTGTCGATACCCCGTATATCGTACATCCCACTCTGGATCGACCAGATATACCAGTTCTTCGAACCGAACTTCGCAGAGTCGCATGAGTGCAGGCCTCAGAATGCATGGTTCGAGTTTGAGGGAGTGCCGCTCAAATGGTTGGGACCACGCCAACGCCCCACCTCGATACCTGGATGCGGTCGGGTCCATTCTGTGCACCATAGCTGACGCGGTGTTGGGGTTATAGGCACTGGCCCGTCGGTGTTCTCTACGACCTCTTCACCGGCCGAGATCCGTCCATCATTCGGGACAGCGACAACGCGGAATACCAGTTACCGTGGACTCTGACGCTGCACTTCCAGAACTGGCCAACTAAACACCTGATGCGGTTGGATACTGAAGATGCAGCTGAAGATGCGTGGAAGAATACCCTCAAACAAGTGAGCTTACCCACACACACACGGGATATTGCTATCTAATACGCGCCGGAATCAGTCCGCCTGCGTAAGGAACGGTAGTGCGAAGACGGTGATGAGCATGTCGAAAGCAGAATCCACAAAGTTGTGGGAAGGACTTTTGGACCGTACGTCACTCGCTCCTACCCCTCGATGTTGGTACAGAGCTGACAGGGAAAAAGACGACTTCGATAGGTTCTGGAGTGTGAATGAAAAGCTCATGACAGATCCAACGGTAATGCGCGGCATCCCAATAAGAGTCTACGTCCCCTCGACACCTCGAGTAGTTCAGCTACCCGTGGCACCGTTCTTAGAGTCTAGTGAGTTCATATGATCCGACATTCCACAATTGGGAAGTGGGCTGATGCGGACATCCCAGAAGAACCACAGACGATCGGTACAGCACTGAATAGTCTGATCCCCGAGCTGTTCAGATCGAAGCGGTCGGCACTGGTGGCACGACCGGTGGTTCACGGGGTAGTGGTTGCTATGAATACGCCGGTGGCAGAGCTTCTCCAAGTAGCGGTGTATCCAGATGGTTTTTTACATATAACACTTGCGATGATGTCATAATGGTTTAGTGGTTCGATGATGGCCGGGTGATATAGGCCGGATGGAGATGTGCGCATAACAGCGCTCAGAATACACACGCTTTAAACATATCCATGCCGACAGGTACGTTTTCTGAAACCTGTCTCATTCGTTCATTCAGGTGAAGGTCATTGGAGCGCGAACTAAAGATTGGTAGATGGCATCCAAGACAGCCTTGTCCTTCCCTCCCGCTGCGCTTGATCCATCGTCCCCACCATCGTCTTCGCCACCACCACCGTCCTGATCTAGAGGCGGAGCTAGCATGCCAATCTCGCCACCGGTAGAGCCGTAATACAGCTCAGCGGGATGGTGCGGCCGTTGCACGAGCGCACTGACTTTGTGCTGTGTTACCTCCTGCCGGAGGACAACGTTTCCTTCGGTAAAGTGGAATCCTAGGATCTCGCCGACAGAGGGGACAAACACCAGCTGGGGGTCCGAGTGACGTAAGCATGTCAGTACGGGATCGCAGTTAGACAGTTGTCGGTTGCGGATAACCGGTGAGAAGTCTGTCTGTTTGTAACACCGGATTAAGGGATCAGCCAGTCTTGGGACGCGAGAAGGGACGGGGGACGGGGGACGGGGGACGTACAGGGACGTTTGAGCCCGTGGAAAGGTCCCACACTCGTAACTTGTCGTCGTGACCGAGGCTCACAAGCGAAGTGCCATCCTCACTCCACGTCAATCCATTCACTACACCTACACCCACCCGTTAGCCAAAGCCCGTCCTCCCACGTCCCATGCAACCAAACCACGAACCATCATGTGCGCGATTCCTCCTATCGACATTCCCCCTCCCCGCCCCCTCGCAATCCAAACTAACCAAGCATGCCCTTGCCATCCTAACATCCCACAGTCTAACCTGTCCATCCACGCCCCCAGAAGCCAGCAAGTTCTCATCCCTCGTACTCCACGCCACAGCATAACACGCCGCGCCGACATGACCGATCAACTCCTGCGCCGCGGCGCCACTGCCCAGATCCAGCAGGCGCACTGCCGCCGCCGCCGCCGCAACCGCAATCAGCGTGTGCCGCGCCCGCGGCGCCATCGCGATTGCGTGCACCGCTCGCGAGATCCGGAACGTGTGCGCTACCGAGAGCTCCCGCGTGTCCCATGCCCGCACCGTGCCGTCGAAACTCCCGGAAATGAACAGGTCTGCGTCTGAAGGGTAGAAGCAGATGGATGAGGCGGTGAATTTGTGGCCGCCTTCTGCTGCGGCGGCGGTCTGCGGCGGGGCGCCGCCGGCGGAAAGGTCGTGCAGCGAGACGGCTCCTGTGGCGCCAGCGGCGAGGAGGCTGGAGGTTTTTATGTCAGTATATAATCCAACCAACCAGTAATTAAAGGGGAACGTACTACCGCCCCGTCTGGCGGTCGATATCGAGTGCCGTGGCTCCCTTTTTATGCACTCCGCCGACTCCGCTGACTCCGCCGGTATCAACGACATCAGTCCTTAGGCCCAGTGAATGCCACCGCTCGCTGTTCCGCCACAGCTCCAGTCCGTAGTGCGCCCCCGGCGTCCCAAGTTCTCGCGCGAGACGAAGGTGCGAGGTCTGCATTGCGCCGTGGTGTGTCTGTAGTTACCGTAGCTCGGTGCGAGGTGATGACGTCGCACGGGTACACACGTAATTTTAGTGCTCGTCGCGTCCTCTCACCCCTCTGAGTCCCCCACTACACACGCGTCCACCCACAGGCATCCACAACCACAACCATGCCTAAAGCCGCCACCACCAAAGGCGCCACCACCCGCACCGCTCGCACCTCCAAACCCACCAGCACCACCACCTCCACGACCTCCGCCCGCCGCCAAGCAACAGTCTACGATGTCGTCGCCTCACGCGTAAACTACGCGGGGTTCATCAAGCCTCGTCGGCGCGCTCCCACACACACCACCAGAAACAACACGCACGCACACCCCCACTCACACTCGCACTCGCACTCGCACTCGCGCGAGCAAGAGTACCGCAGCGCCGTCGCGCGGCCCGCAGACGAGGTGCTCTCGCGCCGGCTGCGGGCGCCGGCGGACCTTTCGCAGCTACAAGACGATGGGGCGGAGGGGGGGGCGCCTGACGACGTGCGTATGCTGCGGGGGGTGAGAGGGGTGTGGGGGAGGTGTGGGCTGATAAGAAGCGCAGGAATTACTCCTAGCGGTACACCAGTACGCCGCGGACTTTTACGATGCACACGGGATGGCGGAGGTTAGCTGTCGGAGCTTGGATGAGACGGCGTTGATCGCTATTGGTACCCCCCCTCGACGATGCTGCTACCGCGCGATGATACGGCGCGATGATACGGCGCGATGATACGGTGTGGACTGATCACCAGGGTGTAGGACTACTCCTCGAGAACACTATCGACGACCTCCTGGGCGCCGGCGGACACCGCGTGCTGGTCGATAAGCGCGCGTTGGAGGAGTATCACGATGACGATGACGATGATGATGATGATCACGAGGAAGAAGAGGAGGAGGAGGAAGACGAAGAGGAGGAGGAGGAAGAGACGACTTGATAAACTACTGCTACCAGTCCAGGTCACGACGTTTCGCGTTCCTTCGTCACGTGACCACGCGTGGAAGTGGAATGTCTAGAGTAAACCGTCTAGAGTTGGTGGTGCTGTTGGTGGTGGTGGTGGTGGTGGGACCAGCCTCTTTCCCTCCTGCCTCCTCCCACCTCCCTCCTCCTCCTCCGATCTATCCATACCTTCTCTAGCCAAATCAAGCCAAAGAACCAGAACCAAAAATCAAAATACATGAGTTATACAAGGTATCCCAAAAGACGAAGAAAATCGAAGAGAAGGAAGGAAGGAGAAAGCAGGAAAAGGAAAAGGAACAAGAGAAAGAAAAAAAATGCTATTCTGTACAATATACCTAAACAAGTAAGGCAGGGCCATAAATTTGCCATAAATTCGGAAGCAAAACGTATTCACAGATATACACCCCTCCTTCTCCTCCTTCTCCTACGAGATCCCCCCAAACCCCCCAAACCCCCCAAACCCCCCCTCCCCTCAGGTACCTAGAGTGCGGTATTCTCCTCTCCCGTTCGTTCCGTTCATCCCGTTCATCCCGTCCCATCCCATCCCATCCCATCTCGTATCCTCCAGCCACCCACCACCACCACCACCAAAAAAAAACCTCCTCGCCCGGAAAGCGCGCAATTTCTTTTCTTTTTCCCGTAAAAAGCCGCGCCAGCCTACCTGCGGAGGCAGATACCCTCCGTGGTGCTGTGGTACACAAACCGGTGTTTGCTTTCTGCCCATGACGAAATCAACATCCCCCCCCCTCAAATCCAATCTGACAAAACGCCAAGACGTCTAACTTCAAGCGTTCAAAAAAAAAATATAAAAAAAATGCGTGGACGCCACATGCAACAATATCCAAAAAAATGAAAAAATAATGAAAATTGTCTGAAATAGATAGTGACGTGAAAATCGATATTTTTTTACTCGGGAGGGCGGTATTCGGAGTGCTGCTGCTGTTATTGCTGTTGCTGCTGCTGCTGCTGTTGCTGCTGCTCGGACGGCTGGCCCGGGCCGGTCGGAGGATGTGGTAATGGGTGCACTGGTGTGGTCGTGGCAAGGTTCGAGGGGGCGGGGAGCGAATTCAGCGACGTGGAGGAGTAGGAGCGCGCGTGCGAGTGATGCTCTATGGTCGGGAGGGGGTAGCGGCGTTTGTCCGTATCGGGGTGACTGCGGCTGTGAGGGTTGTCGTTGGTGGTGGGCCCGTTGGTCAAAGTATCCCGACGGGGAAGGGGAGGGCAGGGGGAGGGCTCGTTTGCTGCGGGTGTTCTCGTCGAGACCGGAGGTTAGCGGTGTGATCGGGGTGATTGAGGGTGCGGTCGAGCTCCCGCTGCTGCTTATCGACCCGGAGATGGACGACATGGGTGAAAACGTGTCTTCTCGCCGTCGTATCCCCGGACTCGGTAAAACCACGCCGCTGCTGTTGCGTGGTGGCGGTGTCGGTGCCGATGTCGGCTGGTGCCGGAGGTACGATGACTGCTGCTGAATGTGCGGATTTTGCACCGCCGTGTGCATTCGCGGGAAAAAGGGGCTGTCCGTGTCCGTGGTGGACGCCGTGAGCGCCTCCTGCTGCTGATGCTGCGTGGTCCTTGCCAGCGATTCTCGGTAGCCCGCGAAATCGATGGATTTGGTGGCTGGTGAGATTGCCGTGCTAGTGGTTGCCATGGAGGAATAATTTCGAGGTTGTTTGGGTGAAGTCGATTTCTTGCGCGAAGATGCTGACGAAGGAGAGTATGCACTGGGCGGTCCCGAGGACATCATCCCCATCGCCGAAGAGGAAGAGTGGATGGCACTTCCCATACTGACCGGACTTCCCACAACCGTGCCAACATCTGAATTCCCGCCCTGACTGCTGCCCGTGCCTGGGGCACTTTCCAGCTTTGGCCGTTTCATGGTCGTTTCGGATTGTTCTTCGATCCTCTCATTAACCATTAAGCATAACCAAATAGACAACAGCCGCGTGGGTAGATTGCTCACCTGGTGTTTCCTTGCCATCTCTGGCCAACCTGGACTTGAAATCCGCCAAGTATCGGGCATAGTCTCGGTAGTTTTCCGTCTTCTTGTATTCCTCAAACTCGGCGTTGAATTTGTCCTTCGCCGCCGTCGCCTTGTACTCATACAACTCCCGCTTCTCCGGTTCCAGCACTTTCCACCGGTCTCCCACCAGCTTGGCTATCTGCGTGAAGCTGAGATTGCGCCCCTTTAGTTCGTCACGGACGCCTTGATGCTGTCAGTCAGTAAGTTTCGACGGGAGGGGGAGGGGAGGAGACACGGGGATCCAAAACTGACTGTTAGCAAACATGACGTACGCCGAAGGTGGTTTCTCCGGAGCATTCTCATCAGTCTGTAGGGGGAGCAAACAAAAAGAAGAGCAAGTCAGCATTGTGGACCACAGCATAGGGAGGAAGAGGCGGCGCCGACAGAACCACGCATCACAAGATCGAACCTTTGGATGTCTCCGGTATTTCCGCTTTCCAGTGTTTGGAGCCTGTTGTGGTCTCCCCGGCTCGGCCTTGGCCGGTTTGAAAGGCGGCTTCTCCTCCTGGTCAAAGTCCTCGGCCGGACCGAATTGTGCAGGAGTTAATGCTTGCGTCGGAGGTATACCACGTGCACTGGCAATCTCTCTCTGCAAAATCTACACGACCATAGAAAAGTCCCATTAGTACCAATGTTTTCCTCGTCTTTTTGTTGCTGCAGAGGACGGTAAAGTCCCTCACAGCAACATGGAAGCACTAAAGAGTTGAATGAAGGAGAGGGCATCTTCATACTCTTCGATGGCCCAGCTTAAAGTCCAAGGCAGCTCTAAAAAATGGATCCGTCAGTATGAGAACTACCAGACCAAACAAACGGAGGAGGAGTAGAAGCAGGAGGAACAAGAGGCAGCGGACGAGATTAAAGGATTGCCGGATTGGGAGAAACTCACAGGTCCTGTTCGGTAATGTCGAGAACGGTGTCCCATTTATGGAAGCCCTCATCTTTAAGCCTCCCCAGGTACTGAAGGAGTCCCAGCCTGTCCAACACGTCTCTCAACTCCGTCATATACACAGTCCCTTACAGCTTCTCGGGCGCTCCTCACGCAAGCTATTGTTGTTTCCCTACTTGTTTCCCTTTCCCCTTGTCGACTTGGGATTTATTGTTTGCCGTTGTTTCCAGGAGGGAGATCCTAGGTTGCGACTTTGCGGACCAGCCAGGGGAGAGAAGGCCTAATAAATCGCAAGGAATGAAGCTCGAGCTGCTGCGAGTCCAAAGTGTTGAATTCGGAGTGAGATTGAGGATGATGGCGCAGATGAAGAAGTATGGGACGAAGAAGATGAAGACGATGAAGATGAATAAGGAGGCGAGGAAGGAGACCAAGAATGAGACGAAGAAGGAGATACTGTTGATGACGATGAGGCAAAAGCTTTTGTCATAACAGAGAAGTCGGACTGAGGGACTATCATGCGGTGTATGTGCGGTGTGTGTTCTGTTCTTACCGTTCTCGAAGAGGGCCTCTCTTTGCACGCAGTGGGTATGGTATTCCCAAGGATGTATGTACCGATGGGGTTCCTGACTGACCGTCCAAAAAAAAAGGCCAACGCCGGCGAATTATTGGTCTTCTCCCGGGATAGCAGAAGCTGAGACGGTCCGGCGTCCGGGAACTTCTCCGGCGGATAAAACTGCACACCGGCAGTCTTGACGATGGTGCGTTGCTTCTTCTTCCTTTCCGTGATCTGGCTGGATATCCGAACCTTTGCGGTGGTGAGGCCTTGCAGGTGTTTTGGCGGGTGTGTTGTTTTCTTTGCTTTTCTTTCCTTTTCCCCTCCTCCTCCTCCTTCGAAACAGGTAGGTGACTGTTCGTTCCTCTTCTCTCTCTCTCTCCCTCTCTCTCTCTCTCTCTCTCCCTGTGTCTCTGTCTCTGTGTCTCTTCTCGCTATGCAAAGACAGCAAGCAGACAAGAAGCAGAAGCAACAGTAGTAGTGGCTGATGGGGGGGACACGGCCTGATAGCAAACCACGGTTCAGTAGGGGGATAGGCAGAGACAGAACAGACAGCGCCGAAAACAACCAGACTACAAGAGTAAGCCACACGCAGCAGCAGTTGCAGCAGCAGAAGAAAAGAACTGGTGCAGCGGGCAGTAGTAACGGCAGCAACAGTGGCAGTAGCAGCAGTAGCAGCAGCAGCAGCGGAGCAGAGGCGGCAGCAGCGGGCAGCTTTCAAAAGGGCAGCCTTTGGCTAATAACGAGTTTCCTTTTTCTGGAATAGTGTTTATGGGGCCCAAGTCAGCACCTGCGGGGGGTTGGGCAAGTGTGGATACAGTTGCGTGATACGATGATTTGTACCTTACAAGGTCGCGTTTTGCCCACGGAAGTTACCCATACGCAGGTATTTGCACTGACGCAGGTCCTGCGGATCGAGGTTTAGAGCAGAATCTTCGGAATTGAAGGCTATCAACGCTGCAGCGATCGACGATTTGTACTGTTTTGGGGGGGAGGGGGGCAGCTTCCGCAGCAGAAACCGATGGAAATTCGGGATTATCGTTACCGGTTTTAAACTTGTGAGACTGGCACAGCGACTTCTGGAGGAGGCAGACGGATGTCGATCACTCAGCAACGAGCACGGGGAAGATTGTGGGAGGGGAGGGGGGGGGGGTGTTGGGGTTTGCGTGCCGGGTTGGATTGCGAAGGGGGAAAGGGAGGCACAAGATTTATTGTGATCGCCCTGGGGGTGTGGTGTTTACTGGATTGCTAGTTGTCGGTACGGCACCGGCAGTTCAGGGTACGTAGTAGGGTTGGGACTTGGTTAATGCGTGTAAGGTGGGAGGGGGGGTAGGGGAGCGGCGGGAGGGGAGGAGGTGGTGGGGGAGGAGGAGGAGGTGGTGGAGGGGGTGGTGATGGTGGTAGTTGTGGTATTGTGGTATTGTGGTAGTGGTGGAGGAGGAGGGACGAGTGAGGATGATGGTAGCAGTGGCGTCGATGGACAGATGGGTAGGGTGGTATGCGGGTGTGTGGTTTGTGTTCTGTGTTCTGTGGTTTGTGGACAGTCCGCTCGTGGGTCGCGGACGTTATGCGTGGTAAACGGTACGGTTGAACGGGGAGAGATCATATCGAAGAGAGCGAACGAAACCCAGGAAGACCGTTTGACGGACGCCTCGAAAGCGAAATGACGTTCCCCCGGCTAGTCTGCCGGTCCTTGCCACAGTAGTGTGTGCCATAGATACCAGGGAGATACCTAAGTAGAGTAGATAGAGTAGATATGTCCTCACCCTGCTTGTGTCTACGTATTTTGATACATAAACCACCGCCAATCGCCCCAGTGCTCGGAGAAGAGAGAGGGCATTGAGGCAGCAGAGAAGTGGAGTGGAGCGGAGCGAATTGGAGGGAGGGTGATTGAGGAGGGAGGGAGGGAGGGTGACTGAGGGAGGGAGGGTGACTGAGGGAGGGAGGGTGACTGAGGAGGGAGGGAGGGAGGGTGCATCTGGTCTGCCACTTTCCCTTCTGCCTGTGGTGCAAGTGCTGGTGCTGGTGTTGGTGCTGGTGCTTTGCTGGTGGTGGTGGTGGTGGTGGTAGTGGTGGTGTAGTGGTGGTGGTGCCGCCGGACGTCCGACGTGTGAAGCCGGCGTCATTGCGGCGCTCCTCCCTCTCTCGTGTTCTCCCCTCCCCTCCCGTCCCTCACTCCCTCCTTCCCTCCTTCCGTCTCTCCTTCTTCACAATGCTCACACCCACCCCCCCTCCTCCCGTTTGGCCGATGCGTGTGTGTTCGCTCTCTCCGTCTCTCTCTCAGCCTTTTCAGGCACACGGCGGAGTCCAAACCGAGACCAAACCGAGACTTTGGACTTGGCCGGCCGCTCAGCCCCATCAGCTGCTGGCCTGATTCGGCCGAGCCGAAAGGGACAGCAGACTTTTTTCGTGCTCTCCTTCTTCTCCCTCTCTCTCTCCCTCCCTCCCCCCCTCCCCCTCTGTGGACGCACTCGGGGGATGGAAGAAGTCGTTCCTCCCTTAAAAAAGAGGCAGGGAGAAGCCCCATTATCCTGTTTATGCAGCATGACGCAATGACCGGGGCGACGCTTGTCGTTGCTGGTTCCACAGTGGAGTGACTAGTATAGTCTCGGAAGGCCAAGCACCAACACAGGGCTCCATTCTGATTCCTTCTGCGTAGCCCTTGCCTTTCTTCTCCGAGCACTTTGCAGTTCTGAGCATTAATCCTGGCCGATGGAGCCGAAGAAGGACAGGGAACGGGCTGAGGCCCTGGAGAGAGAGAGAAGAGAGAGAGAGAAGACCCAAGAGGGAGGGGGAGGGGGCTGTTTAGCTGGGTAACGGGAGGTGGGCGCGCTGGCCTCGGCGTCGTTGGCCCAACGAACTTTCTTTGCCGGCCAACCACCACCACCACCACCACCACCACCACCACCACCACGAAGAAGGCTGTGGCTTTTTTGGATAGCAATCCTGTTCATCTAAAGTACGGTATGTAGAGTATACATGGTATGTATTCCCTGTGGTTATCTTGATAGGTGCAGGTTTCGAGGAGGAAGCCGGCTACCCCCCCTCCAACAACAACAGCGGTTACCGGTTGACGCTGGGACATGGAGAGCACTTCAGGTTCTACGAGCCGGATGGGTATATTCCTCCCGACTGCCCTATTCGACATCGGGAGAGTGGTTGTGGTGGTTGTGGTAGTGGTTCTGGTGGTGGTGGTTTTGGTGGTGGTAGTGGTTGTTGGTGGTGGTGGTGGATGTTCCTCATCCAAAAAGGCCCGGGTAACGGAGCGCGCGAGGAACAGGCGGATGGACTAGAGTGGAGTGTGGAAAAGGGACCGTACAGGGACGACGCTCGGTGACGCACTCTGTCACCGTGCTGAGACTGCCACGGCCAACTGCGCGCATAGCACGTGAACGGATGGATTGGGGTGCGACGGGGGACGACGGAGGGAGGGATGGGGTGACGGAGGGGCGGCGCGAACGAACGCTGAGCAACTTACTAAGAGAGTGGCTGCAACATGGCTGTTAGGTAAGTCACACTGGGGCATCTCGGGGTCGTGCCAAAGCAGCATAGCTCGGCGTAGTGCGGATGCAGAACGGCTTGGGCGTGGTCACTGGTACATAGCCAAGTGGTCGGTCAGGCATATGTATCGATTCCGGGGGGTGGTGATCGCCGGTTTCACTGGATGCGACGGGAGCTGTCTTGTCTCGCGAAAAGGAATAAAAGGAAAAAAGGAAAAGAATCCCGAACGTGCTGAGTAAGGAAAGAAGCAGAGTCATGTGATTTGGCGTTGAACCGCAACCAGTGATGATGCTCCAACTTACTGCCGTATGCACTTCATCCGGCACTCACGGCATCGCATATCGCATATGCACACGACCGAGCTGGGGGGCATGGCCGGCGGGGGGCGGGGGGAGGGCGGAGGGGTTAAGGCCGCCCAACGGAAAGCGGTGAGGTACAAAAGCCCGCTACGGTCCTTGTCGTCCCTCTCTCTCGCTCCCTCGCCCTCCACGTTTTACCTTTCGACACCACCCGTCCCATGTCGCCCGAGTGAGCAGCGGCCCACATACCGTACATACCGTACCTACCGTACATGCATATCGCATTCGAGATTCTGAATGCCTCGTCTCGCCCGTCCGGAGACATATCTATTGGGGGGTGCACGCATGTACCGTAATGGACGGCGACATCGGAAGCACACCAGTACTCTACATACGAGCTGGGTAGTGGGGGCGGGGGGTGGGGGGTGACTCCGAGTGCGCCGACCGGGAATCCAAATGGAAATGCTTGGGCTCGACTCGATCGCGCTTCGAACGAAGCCGGAGTCGGAGCAGCGGTCATCGACGATTCCACCGTGCGTGCACACACGTGATGTCGTGACCTGGCCAGCCAGCCTCAAACTCGAAGTGCCGACTCCGGCGGCACGGTGAACCAGCAAGCACCGCCGGGGCTGCGCATCGCACCCGGGAATGGGAATGCTACGGCCCACGGGGTGCATCTCCGCGGGCCAGAAGGGTTGTCGGAGGTCCACACACACACACACACACACACCGCTGAGAAGCTCGGTCGATAGAGAAGGTACATATCGTATCTTCCGCGAGTGCATGCATGCGTGCGTTTCGCGTGGTGCAGTGTGGTGCAGTGCAGTGCAGTGCGGTTGCGTATGTAAGTACATGCTTAGGTAGGTGGTGAGAGACCCTCGACGGGTACGGGCAACCGATGGGGCTGATCCAATTGACTAAAAAGCAGCAAGAACCTCAAAGTACCTCTGCGGTGATGATAATGTCTGATGTGTTGAACGAGAGACCGGCCGACTAGACGAACATACATACAAGCAGCAACAGAGAACATTTCAACGTTGAGGCGACCGCACCGCATCGGGTCTGCCCGCCATCACACCTGTCCCACAGTAGATAGGTGGGTGCATTCATTACATAGAGTAATCAATCAATCCGGGAAAGATGCCGCACTGGATTGTGGATGGCATGGAGATGGTGGGGTGGTGGATGGGATATTCGCATGCATAATTGTTTTTTGCCCATCTGTTTGCGATGTGGTGTGCATTTTCATTTATTTTCGTTTTCGTTCGACTTTCGCCTGTCTGGGCGGCATCTTCGGTGAGGATTAAGGACTCAGGACGGACAGTTGCCCTTTGAAGCCGGCTGTGTCTGTGTGGGTGGATGGATTCCCGGTGAGTGGATGCCTAGCCTAACTGGCAACTGGCAACTGCTACATAGAGCGGCTATTGTTATCGTTGCATGCAGCAGCAGTACCGCGGCACGTTGAAGCTTCAAGCATCATCCAAAGGTCTTCGAAGTAAGTCCGATGAGCAACGGCCGATGAAGTAATGCACCAGTCCGCGATCGGCCCCAGCTGTTGCGGCCGATAAGATAAGATGAACTAGGTATGGTACCTAGTGCCCAAACGTTCGAGCTATATGCAATTCGTGTTTTGTTCTGCTTTCCGATTATTTCCCCTCATCTGTAATTCGACACCGCAGAGGTACTTTGAGGTTGCTCAGTCTGGAGATCACAGGCTGCTTTTCTTTCTTGTTGCTTCTTGGTCAATTGAATCAGTCTCATAAGTTGCCCGCACACGTCGAGGGTCTCTCGCTGGATGACTAACGAAAAACACACAGCAGCAGCAGCAGCAGCAGCTGCTGCTGCTGGCAACCCTACATATCTCAGCCCGAGAAAAGCGCCCCTAGACTCGGTGGCTCGATGTCGATGGCGATGTCGATGTCGATACAGTAGAGTGCCGCCATCATCCCGTCCCCCCCAGCCAGCCGTCCAGCCAGCCAGCCATGCGGCTGTGATTGTGGTTCGTCGCCCACAAGTAGAAACATCCAGGTAGTACCACGCAGCCAGCGAGCAGCAAGACCATCGTCGGAGAAGGTCAGCCCTACGATACACCGTCCGTCCGCGCCGGCTAGGTACCACCACATCAATCATCAGCATCATCATCTTGTTCAACGCACACGCAGACACACGCACGCACGTCCAGGCACACACACGACACACGGAGACCTCCACCTCCACCTGCGTACAAACCTCCAAACCCCCAACCCCCCACCCGAACCCCAACCCCACCAACCCAACCCAACCCAACCCAACCCCACCACGGTAACCACCAGAGCTCGCGCGCACCCGCCGCCCACCCATCTCCCTCCCGCACTCGCACTTCGTCCCCCCGTCGATCCCAGTAACGGACAGACAGACAACGTGCCAACAACTTCACTTCTCTTCCGGCTCATCCATCCATCCATCCACCAGTCAATCAATCAGCCATGTCCGCACAGAACGGAGGCGGCCGTAGTGGCGGTGACGCAGACATGGGGCAGGTGTGTTCAGCTTCCCCCCTCCCCCTCCATACACCCCGCACCGATAGACCTAGCGAAACGAAACGAAATCCCAATCCCGATTCCAGAGTAAGCATATAAACTGACACGATCGCACCAGGCCTACCTCGACATCACCGCGTAAGTACTAAGTCCAGTTCAGTCCAGTTGGGTCCGGTTCGTTTCTTTTCGATCTGGCTTTTTTTTACCCGCAACCAAACCCACCCCAACCAATCCCCAACTTTTACCCCCATAAAACAAAAAAAGAAACAAAAAGTAACCCGTATGTAAAAAAAAATTATGGTTAGTTGACGACAAGCTGGCGATGTTTTTGGCCATTGCGGCAACAAACCACCAGAGCCGAACAGCAGGTTACCCTCATCGAGAATCAGCTGCGCGCCCTCGAAAGCAAGATTGGTGAATTCCTTGATGAGCACGAACACGATGCCGATGTCGATGTCGATGCGCCAGATCCCAACGCCCGAACTACCGATATGCAGGCGCGCGCGGCCAGGGAACAGGCCCCTGCTGATGGCAGCAACAGCAACAGCAGCAGCAACAGCAGCAACAACAACGGCAGCAACAACGGCACCGACGATGTCTCCTCGAACAAGGACGCCATCGGAGCTTAAGCATGTGGCGGTGGTGCTGGTTGTAGTGGCGGTGATGCGGTAGAGGTTTCAGTTGGTGGTGGTGGTGGGTGGCAGTGGGGGGTTGTTGGTTGTTGGTTGTTGGCGAGTGTGGGACGGGAGCGCGCAAATGTGTACATTACACCACAAACTCATTCACTCACTCAGCTCTGCCCAGGCAGAATGGTGTTCTATCAATGCGATACCACATGAAACCAACCGCACACTTCTCCCCCACCCCCCAAATTGTGTCGGGGCTCTCGGCTCCCTCCCTTGCTTACTGCCATGTGGTATCTATACAAAAAGCTGGGCCAGCTCAAATTCATTGTTCTCATTCTTCACCATCACACCCTTCTCCGTGACAATTGCATCGATCAGGTCCTTCGGTGTCACGTCGAAACTCGGGTTGTAAACACCGATCCTACCCGCCATGCCGGGTGCAATCGTCGCCACCGACTGCACGTCAACACTCAGACCACCCTCGGGCTTGGTCGTCACCACGGGGCCAGTGACCATGAGCACCTCGTGCGCCGGCCGCTGCTCAATGCAGATATCATTACCGCTGGCCGTGCCCATATCGATGCTCGTCGTCGGCGCCGCAACCACAAACTTGACCCCATGATACTTGGCAACAATGGCGAGCTGGAACGTCCCGATCTTGTTCGCCGTGTCACCGTTCGCCGCCACGCGGTCCGCACCGACAATGATCGCCGCGAGCTGGTACCGGCCCAACAACGACGCCGCCATGCTGTCCGTGATGAGCGTAGCCATCCCCTGCGGGAGGTCCGTCGCGAGCTCGTAGGCTGTGAGCCGCGATCCCTGGTTGTACGGCCGCGTTTCGGTGCAGTAGGCATGCTGCAACGACTCCATGGCATGTAGAGATCGGATGATGCCGAGGGCGGTTCCGTAGCCAGCGGTAGCCAGGGAGCTTTTTCACCACCGCCGCCCCGCGTCAGCACCGACCAGCATCAATCATGTACCATCTTAAGTGGAGCTCACCCGGTATTACAATGCGTCAACACCGACACGGGCTTCATGTGCAGGTCGCCGTGGTTAACATTGTCCAAGATCCACTTCGCGCCGTGATCGCCAATGTTCCTGTTATCCTCGACGTCGTCCTGCAGCATCTTCTCCGCGGCCACAATATAGCGCTCCTTCACCTGCTCGGGGCCCTCGCCCGCCTCCGCCGCGTCCCTGGCAACCTTGCTGAGTTTCCGCGCCGCATCCGAAAGGTTCACGGCCGTCGGCCGCGACCCCACGAGGTACTCGAGCCGCTCGCAGATGGTGTCCGCCATCTTCGCGCCGCTGGCGTACTCAATCTTGCTGCAGGATAGCTCCACGGCCAGCGCGAGCGCGGCGACGATGGCGATCGCGGGCGCCCCCCGGACTACCATTCGCTCAATCGCCGAGAAGGCATCACGGCAGTCGCTGATGGTGACGTACTCGCTGACGTGCGGCAGCCGCAGCTGGTCGAGGATCGTGAGGGAGCCGCGGCGGTAGCGGATGGCTTCGAGGGACATCGTTGCGGTCGTTGGCGTCGTCGTCGTCGTGGAGGTCGTGGGAGAAGTGGTAGACTGCAGTGCGGAGGTGTGGCGATGGATGGCCGCGGAAAAACTGTGGATGGAGGGGCTGTGGCGTGCTGCCAAGAGCGGGATGAAAACGGACCCTGCAGATCACATTCAATCGGGCTGTGGAGTGATGGACCATGAGTAGAGCGGGTGATAACATGTGAGAGAGCTTGGCCTTGCGCTGGATTCCAAGCCCCGCTTGAACAATGCGAATCTACATACTCGAACCAAATACCACTCAATCCACCCAACTCCTCGCATAGGTACATTGTGGAGAGGAGGCGTGAGGAGAAGGAGAATGAGGGCGCCGAGGTTGAGGAGCCGGGGCCACTCCCACTTTCCCTCCCTTTCTTTTCATAGCTTTATTTCCTTCACATGTATCTTCGAGAAAAGCCAGGGCGGAGAAGCAGGGGAAGCCACATCGGGCCGCTCGATGAAAGTCGAGCTGGACAGTGACGTGGAAAGGGGAGGATGTATGACCGGGGCGGATAATTCGATGATCTAGATAAGTCGCATGCAATCAATCAGTAAACAAAAAACAGTTTCGGAGCAAGAGAAAGTCCCCATCAATGTAACATGTCTTCTTTGAAGTCTCGGCCTCCTGAGGAGAGCCCAGCACCATCAACGAAAACGCCTTCATCAAAAAGGAGGAAGAATCAAAAATTACGACGCCGAAAGGCCCGAAGCCCTTTCGCAGAGACACTCGCCCCTCGCTGTGCCATGAAGGTGTTGCCGCTGGAGCTTCGTTGCTTCTTGAGCCAGCAAAGCCGCATGCAGTGAGATGAAGAAGAAAAGGAAACCGTGAGCGGAGAAGGGGGTGGTTTTATAGGCGCTTTCTGCTGGAGGCTTGGTTACACTACGTGTCACTCGGCCAAAATGGAGGAGGCATTAGCGGGCAGTGCTTTGGGCAGTGAAGCACTGGAGACGTGATGACCCTCAGACAACCTTGTTTAATAATATAGAAGACCGATTGTATTTGTCTAGAGAGAGAAACGACAATGAAAGAAAAGAGCCACCTGTGCTCTTCAGGTGATGAACCTCAAGTACCCCGCGAGTTGAATGGCGAGATGAGTATATGAATGCGCAGATGATGACGGACAATGACAAAACAAACAACCGGCCAACAAAGTAAAAAAGACCCCCTCGAGCATTTCGCCCACCACATCTGGTCTAGCCAGGTCGGCGAAATTTCGCCGCTCGTGCATCTCCCATGCCCGCTCCCAGCTCAGACAGGACCCGCTCTCAAACCGAATGACAACAAACCTCTCCGCCCTCGGTCACACTCCAAACCGAGCTGGTCTCAACGAGCCCCAGTCCGTTCACAACTCCTTGGCCATCGGTCTCACCCAGGTCCGCAGCTCCGGGTTGAAACGACGCGCCAAGGCGTCGTTTCCGCTGGGTCCCACACACAGCAGCTGTGCAAGCTGGCAGCCGACAACCCCGCGGCTCGCAAGTCGGCCGGCCAGCTTCGATTCCTTTCTCGTCTGCTCTCAAGCTCCAAGTTCCAAGCCCTAGGCCCCTACGTAGGTAATCGGCGAAATTGACTCCCCTAGAACACCTATAAAACCCCCTTCCCCGCCCCTCCGTCCTCCTCTTTTCTTTTCTTCTTCATACTTACCTTGATGCGACTTTACTGGCTCAACAATCAGCAAAGCTCTAGGGATAAGGTTCTCATTGCACATCGAGAATCACAAGTCCCTGCGAATGATCTTCGGATCTTTCGGCAACACAATTTTTGATTTCTTCCTTCTTTTTGATGAAGGCGTTTTCCGTCGGTTACTTGGGCGCTCAGTGAGACCGAGGTGGCGAAGGATGATGGTATTATACAGAGGAAGGATCGGTGGTGTGGTGTATTGGCTGTATGAGGTATGAGGTATGTAGTGTCGATGGGCGGTGCGGAAGTATGATCGTACGGACGGTGTGGAGCGTTACATCTGTTTGTAAGCGGTTTCCAGGCTAGTGGTGGGGAGGGGGGACTCTCTTGTTTACCTTCTATCTGTACCAAGACCAAGATCATCACCATCATCACCATCATCAATCAATCGTTCGCCCGCCTAAACAACAACTCATCCCTCCAATCGTCCCGATCCACAAATAGGCCGCTCAATGGAAGGTAGAGAGAGAGGGAAACAAGAAATTGAATTGACTGACTACTTGGTTCAGAAAGAAAAAGAGCGGACAACATAGACGGTTTATATACAGCGAACAAGAGATACAGAGCTATCTAGAAAGACACCTGTCTTCCAAATCCCGAGCTTTCTCTTCCCTCATTGTGTATGACCGTTGCGTATGCCATTGCGAATGTCCATTGCGAATAGCCATTGCGTGTCATGCTTTTTCCACATTACGCGCCCTGGCTTTTGAGTTGGCCAGGCTGTGGCGACGTAACTTTCTTCATGTAGATACTCGGGTGTAAGGGTTAGTGGTGCCTCACCTTGCGCTTATAATTCGTAATGGTGGTGAGGCACGGCTTATTGGCTGTTCCTGGTACATTCTACGAGTGAACCCAAGACAAAGCAGTGTAGAGAAATATTCAAGGTCCCCAACTTCATGGCTTGCATCCGTCCATGTCAGCTGTCGTACCAGGGCACCCGATGCGATTTCGTAGACATAGCCTGTCACTCGGCTCGGAATTGCAAGGCCGAAATCTTGGTTGGCAGAAATGGGTGTAGATAGATACATCTTATCCAACAGGTGTCAATACTACCCCCTACGCAATGTTGCGATGCAGAACTGCAACCAGTTTCCCAGTGAATAGGGAGCAAGTAGTTGGTCCACCACCTCGGATCCAACACCACGGGATACTGCATCACACGATGAGACGAAGTATACATACAGGTTACAGGTCCAATCAAAAACTGTTTCTGTTACCATTTATACCCCCTAAGTGTGTACCTACATAAGTGGGTCTGACGAACCACTGCCTCCTCCAGCTGTCTTTTACCATGATTATATACCCTCCCGGCTCGTGAACGTGGCGATTCCCGACACCTAATGCCCTCAAAACGGAGAGAGTCAGTCACGACTCACGGCCGCGAGGATTCGGAGTCATCAGTCCTGCGGGTCAATTCACCTGAGGGGAGAACAAGGGCCACGGTAGGCACGGTGAACCATCTGCTGAGGTGGATGAGTGCACATGCTGATGTTGGAGATTGGGAGGAAGGAGAAGAGAGTTGGAGTGAGAAAGCGTGCGTGGGGGCGGTTGGACCCACAAAGCAACCGAACCGCACGTGGCTCAAGTTCTAAGCCCTAACTACGCGCTAGCTACTTCCCGTCGGCGAAATCGACCCCTCCAAAATCACCTATAAAACCCCCCGTCCCCGGCCACCCTTCCTCCTCTTTCTTTTCCTCTTCATACTTACCTTGATGCGACTTTGCTGGCTCAAAGATCAGCAAAGCTCTAGAGACACCCTCTCATTGCACAGCGAGGGTCGAGTGTCTCTGCGAAATGTCTTCGGATGTTTCGGCGTCGCAATTTTTGATATCTTCCTCCACTTTGGTGGAGGCGTTTTCGTTGAAGGTGCTGGGCTCTCTCCTCGGGAGGCCGAGACGTCGAAGAAGACACGTTACGTCTATGGGGACTCCCTCTTGCTCCGAAGGCAGGTCATGGCAATATCCGCCCCCTACACACTCCATTTCCACACCACTGTCCAACCCAGCTTTCGTCGAGCGGGCCATGTGGCTTCCCTTGCCCGTCGCCCCGGCTGGTCCCAGCGATATAATTTGTCGGTGGGAGGAAGCGGATGTGGTTAGTACTTAGTGAACATCAACGTTAGCGGGGCCAGCGAGACGCCTGCCCTCTCCGTCGTCTACTTCTTCTTCTTCTTTCTCTCTCATAGTCTACAGAATAGACGATGAACATCTATATCATCTCTCCCCTTGTGTGTTCTCGCTGTCGACCCGCTTCCCGGTCTAGAGAGGCATTGGCAAGTAGACGGTGTTTTAGTAATGATGGTTTTGCGAGGGCTCTTTGCCAACTCCAGGCCGACAGGAGTCCTCTTCAACTTTCTCCTCTCGCCGACAGCTCTTCCATCGCTCGAGACAGTGGGTTTACATGGTGGGTGGTGGTGGGTTTGAGCGGTGGTTGGTTTTCAGACTTTTTTGTTCAAAACTATGGCATTTTAGACCACAGTGCCAAAAACTATAGCATTATAGACGTTTGCCGTATTTCTTTTCACAGTGCCTGCGCTGTCTTGGGTTTACTCACAGTGTGTACAACCCATACACCACGCCGCAGATCCCATCATCATCCTTCGCCACCTCGGCCTCACTGAGCACCCAAGTAACCGACGGATAACCAGAAGAAATCAAAAATTGCGACGCCGAAACATCCGAAGATATTTCGCAGAGACACTCGACTCTCGCTGTGCAATGAGGGGGTGTCTCTGGAGCTTTGCTGCTAGTTGAACCAGCGAAGTCGCATCAAGGTAAGTATGAAGAAGAAAAGGAAATGGTGGGTGGGGGAAAGGGGGTTTTATAGGTGTTTTCTGCTGGCTAGCTTGGCTACACTGCGTGTCACTCGGTTAAAACCCCTAGCTAGCTACTTCCTATCGGCGAAATCGACCCCCTAGAACACCTATAAAACCCCGTCTCCTTTCCCCACTCCTCCTTCTTTTCTTCTTCATACTTACCTTGATGTGACTTTGCTGGCTCAACATGCAGTAATGCTCCAGGGATAAGGTTCTCATTGCACTGCGAGAATCGAGTCCCTGCGAATGATCTTAGGGTCTTTCGGCATCGCAATTTTTGTTTGCTTCTGGTTTTCCGTCGGTTACTTGGGCGCTAGTTGAGGCCGAGGTGGCGAAGGATGATGGTATGAAGGAGTGTGGCGTGGTGTATGGGTTGTACATACTGTGAGTAAACCCAAGACATCGCAGTGGGGAGGAATATTCAAGCTCCCCAGCTTCATGGCTTGCACCCGTCTCTGTCAGCTGTCATATCCGGGCAGCCGATGTGATTTTATAGCCATCATACTGTATGCAACTCACAGTAAGGACCCACTCGAGTGTAGAACCCCCTGCTAGCATCGTCACCTTGAACAACCGTCTTGCCATTCCCGAAGTTCCGCAGGCTGCTAATGAGTTTCCAAACCTCCCTACGCCGGAGAGACCTCATTCAACATTCA